TATTGATCTTGTGTTTGGATGATCCATCCGTTGGTGTAATTGGAGTGTTCAAGTCCCCTACTATTTTTGTGTTACTCTCTATTTCTCTTTTTATGTCTGTTAATAATTGCTTTATATTTTAGTTGCTACTACATTGCGTGCATAGATATTTTCAAGTGTTATAACCTCTTGTTGTATTGTTCACTTGATCATTATATAATGCCCTTCTTTTCTCCTTTTATAATTTTTGTTTTAACGTCTATTTTGTCTGATATGGGTATTGCTACCCCAGCTTTCTTTTCATTGCCATTTGCGTGCAGTATCTTTTTCCATCCTTTCACTTTCAGTTTGTGAGTGTCTTTAGGTCTGAAGTGTGTCTCTTGTATGCAGCATATATATGGGTCTTGTTTTTTTAATCCAATAAGCCACCCTATGCCTTTTATCTGGAGCATTTAGTCCATTGACGTTTAAAGTAGCTATTGATAAGTATGTACTTACTGCCATTTTTTAACATTTTTTTTTTGGTGTTTTAGTAATCCTTTTCTATTCTTTTCTTCTTCTCTTGCTCTCTTCCCTTGTGGTTTGATGGCTTTCTTTAGTATTATGTTTGGGTTCCTTTGTCTTAGTTTTTTGTGTATTTATTATAGGTTTCTGGTTTGTGATTACCATGGGGTCCATATATAGTAACCTACGTATATAGGAATCTGTATTAAGTTGATGGTCTCTTTAGTTTGACCTCTGTCTGAAAGCTCTACTCTTTTACTCCCCTCCTCCCACATTTTATGTTTTTGATATCATATCTAACCTCATTTTGTGCATTTGTATCCATTACCCTCTTATCATGGAAATGGAGAATTTTTCCTATTTGTGGTCTTCTCTTTTCCCCTTAAATAGATCCCTTTAGCATTGCTTGTAGTACTGGTTGCTTGGTGACAAACTCCTTTAATTTTTGCTTGTCTGGGAAACTTTTTATCTCTCCTTCCATTTTGAATCATAACCTTCCCGGGTAGAGTATTCTTGGCTGTAAGTTTTTTCCTTTTAGCACTTTAAATATATCATGCCACTGTCTTGTAGCCTGTAAGGTTTCTGCTGAGAAGTCAGCTGATAGCCTTATGGGGTTTCCTTTGTATGTAACTTGTCTTTCTCTTGCGTCTTTCAGGATTCTCTCTTTATCTTTAATTCTGGACATGTTAATTATGATGTGTCTTGGAGTTGGCCTCTTGGGTTTATCTTGTTTGGTGCTCTCTGTTCTTCCTGTACATGAATGTCTTTTTCCTTCCTTAGGTTAGGGAAGTTTTCATCTATTATTTCTTCAAATAGATTCTCTGCACCTTTGTCTCACTTTTCTTCTGGGACACCTATACCACAGATGATAGTGCACTTGATGTGGTCCCCGAGGTCCCTTAGACTGTCCTCACTCTTTTTAATTCTTTTTTTTCCCCCCAAAGCTCCAGTAGATAGTTGTATGTCTTAGTTGCACATCCTTCTCGTTGCTGTATGTGGCACACGGCCTCAGCATGGCCGGAGAAGCAGTGCGTCGGTGAGCGCCCAGTATCCGAACCCGGGTCACCAGCAGCGGAGCGTGCGCACTTAACTGCCAAGCCACAGGACCGGCCCTTTTTAATTCTTTTTTATTTTACCTGTTCAGCTTGGGTGATTTCTTCTAGTCTTTTGTCAAGCTTGCTGATCCCGTTCTTCTGTATCCTGTACTCTGCTTTCGAGTCCCTCTAGTGAATTTTTCATTTCCAATATTGTATTCTTCATTTCTGATCGGTTCTTTTTTATATCTTCCCTTTCTTTGTTGACTTCTCACTTAGTTCCTCCATTCTTCTCCCAAGATCAGTAAGCATACTTAACACTCTTTGTTTGAACTCTCTGTCAGGTAGGTTGCTCATTTCTGTTTCACTTAGTTCCTTTTCTGGGGTTTTATCCTGTTCCCTTACTTGGAATGTATTCCTTTGCCTCCTCATTTTCCCTTTTCCCTGTGCTTGTGTCTATGTATTAGGTAGGTCAGCTGCGCCTCCTGCTCTTGGAGAGGTGACCTTATATAAGTGATGCCTTATGAGGCCTGCAGTGTGCTTCCCTCAGTTCTGAATGTTCCAGGAGTGACCCCTATGTGGGCTACATGTGTCCTTCTGTCGTGGCGTGCTTGCTCTCCCTGTAGGTGCACAGGGATGCTGAGCTATGCACCTGGCCAGGTGTTGTAATGCTCAGCTGCTTGTAGTTGTTGTGGGCCCTTCAGTCTCTTTATCAGGTGTGGGGCACCCCAGCACAGTTGGCTTCAAGGTCTAATAGCATATTTGTGTTGCAGTATTTCTTTTGATTGAGTAGGCCTCCAGTGTGGCAGGTTGTTAGGCTCTCGGGCTTACAATTGCTATAAGCCTCCAGCGTTTAGGTCTCTTGTCAGCTCTCTGAGTATTGCAACTGGGTGTGGCTTACCTCAGGCATGGGAGCACCCAATTGTTTCAGGCTTTGGAAGGTGCGGCAAACCACCTATGTGCGTCCTTGAGAAGCACAAGTCTTCTGTAGCTGACAAGCCCTGCTGCCCACAGGTCCACACACACAGTCAACACAGTTCTGCCCTGTGTGCGTGCCCCAATGTCCTGACGTGGACCCAGTCTCTCCAAGGCAGGAGCCCCACACACTCCACCACCACCCCACTCTCTCCACCCACTCCTTGCACACGCCCTGCCCCACTGAAGTGGGCCCAGTTGCCAGGCTGCAGAGAATCCAGCCACCAATCTGTGCAAGCTCACAAATTGCCTGAGGGCTTGTTGTTGGGTGGGGTCAGTCTCTAGGGTGCACTACTTGCCCTGGCTGAGCTGGATTAAATCATTGTTCTAGTGGGTTGGGCAGACCCTGTGCTAGCAGGCCCCAGGGAGAACTCCAATGGCATCTGCCAGCGCCTATATCAGCATGCCCACACCAGGCCACAACAATGGCCCCTGCCAATGTCCCAGTCCCTGGAGATGTCTCACCTCTCACCGAGATGCACTCAGAGCCTATCAGGTGAGTCTCTTTTCACCAAAGCTCTGTGCACCTTTCTTTTGTAGATTTTAGCTTTCTTTCTGAAACAGGTGAATTTGTGTGTGGGCCCTTTAAGAGCCGGCTTTATTTTCTTTGTGAACCAGCTTTTCTAGGGGTACTCCCCAATATTTTAGTAGCAGGCAAAGTCAGATATTATGCCACTCATGTCAGTTGTGCTGGGTCCACAAAATGCCTACAGCAGGAACACTCCGTGGCTCAGAGCCCCACTCCTCCAGGGAGGGCTGTGTAGCTCTGAGCTGCTCCCGGGTGGCTGTGAAGCGCTGCGGCTTGTGAAGGTTGCATTTTTTCTCTATAGAAGGGAGTTTCTGCCTCTTCCACCTCAGTTAGGATTGTCATTTGTTGCAGGAGTTCCTCTTATCCAGTTTTCAGTTCTCTCTCAGGGTAATTTTTCCACTAGTAGTTGTAAATTGGCTGTGTCTGTTGGGAGGAGGTGAGTTCAGAGTCTGCCTGCACCACCATCTTGATTTCTCTCAAAAATATCCTCATTTTAAAGGAGGAGTTTAAGGAGAGTTCATTAGTGTGAGGTTTATCAAAACCCAGTATGTTCTTGTGTAGAAAGGAACAGTAAGTTGAACATGGCATAAATCTCTTTTAATCAAGAAACATATTCCAGACACTGTGCTAGGGGACTAGGGCTAGAAAGGTGAGTAGAATATCATCTCTGCCTTCAAAGTGTGCAAATATATCAAATTGTTAAATATTTCAGTGAGGAACAAGGCATCCTGGGCCACAGAGGAAAAAGTACTTAACTCTGCTTAAAGAAGTCAGGATAGGTTTCCAGGTATAGGCAGCATCTTTTGCATGATGAATTTTTGGGGATGAAGAGGAGTTTTCTAGGCAGAACAGTGGGATGAGCAGGGCGTTCTGACAGAGAGAATAATATCTAAGACAATACACCTTTTAAACTTTTATAAGAAAATGACAGGTACAGATTTCTGTTCTTTAGTATGGGTGGGTACAAGGGCTTACATTTATCTAATGTCTACTATAAGCCAAACAGCCTCACTGATGCTTTACCTATGTTATCAGAACAATCAAAAAATATTACCAAATACCTAACAATGTGCTGCATATTATATCAGACACTGACCTGTACCAAAGGCATATAAAATGTGAGTTTTACCCTCAAGGAGGTTACAATTCAGGTCTTATTCTTTCCCGTTCGTGTGTATCCATTTAGTTTCATTTGATTGCCGCTCTCTAGCCATTTGGGTCCATATATTCATTATTCCTTCATCAACAAACATTGGGCCAGGCAATATGTCAGGTATTAAAGAGACTATGTTGAATCAGATACCATCTCTGTCTTCTTTTACAGAAAAGTCAGCAATGACAGTATAGTATGATAAGTGCTAAGACAAGGATAAACATAAACAAAGGAACTTTATCCATTCTGGGGCAAAGAAGGCTTCCTAAAATTGGTGGCATTTTAGAACATTAAAGAAGATAAGGTTGAAGATATGAAAGAGACAGTGGATGTTTAGTAGAATAAGGCTCCTGAGGAGACAAGAGGGGGTGAAAGCTACAGTTCAACTGAAAAGATTAGCTTGAGCTATCACAAAGAACACCTCTTCCATGGAGACTGGATGGAAGGACAAACAGTGAAGGAACTAAGTGTGTGAGTGTCAGAGGGAGGCGTTAGATATTTTTACTTGATGGCATTGATCTTTTTCAGTGACACTCTAGACACCAGTGTGAAATCGGTTAGGGGTTTGAGAAGATAGCTTAAAATTTGCAAGAGTTGTAAGGTTAATGGGAAAGCAGCGTTAAGGACATATATAAAGATTATTCGGATGCAGTTAAGTTCTAGCTGGGTATGGAGACGTAATTTACGTGGTTTTATAATTTTCTCAAACAGCATTCATCAGCCAGGATGTGGGAGTAGAGCACATAACTTTTTAGGCTCATCTGTGGTTGGACTTTGAAGGAGAATAATGACAAGAATGACGAGAAAGTTGAAGAAAATGAGGAGAGACGAGTTGATGGGGCAGACCATAGAGTATAGGCTGGATAAGGAAGAAAAGGAAGCTAGTAGGAATCTGACAGGTTGAGAGGTACAGAGATGAAGGCTGGAGGAGAGAAGATAAGCAGGCTTTGGAAATATATGGTAGTCAGTAGGATATAGAGATTAAGATTTCAAAGTGGAATAAGAACCTCTAGGTAACTTCAAGAACCAGCCTATGGCCATGGATACTGGAGGCTGATGTGGAGTAGAGGTAAAGATCAGTGAAGATAATTGAATTTGAGTTAGTTAAGGAACCTGCTAAGCCAGTGGGTCATCTTTGTCGACCCCAAAGATAAGTACTTCAGACAGGAGTCAGATTCTTCAGAAAATGTGAGGAAGTGACTCAAAGATTGGTAGAAGACAACATTGAGGAAGGGGAAGATAGTTTAAGCTAAACAGCATAACTCGTAATGGAAGTGTTTTTAAGAGAGGGGAAGTAGTAGTAGAGAGCAGTGGTAAGAGCAAGGACAAAGCTGATCCCACCTCTGCACTGTTTTAGGATTATGGTATGTGGAGAGTGGAATGATGAGCATTCTCCATTTGATTTTAGACCCCAAGAAGAGGTGGTGTCTTTGGTGTGGCAGATTTCGGTTAAATGAAAAGGTAGACCATTCAATGTAGAAGCTGAGGATGCCGTGTTTGCTTCCAGTGGGATAGGGTTTCCAGTGGATGGTAGAGTTGGTAAAGAGGGCATCATGGAGGAGGAAACAGTAAACAGTTCTGGGATGAGGTTTGTTTATTCATTTAATAAATATTTATTAAATACCTATTTCATACCAGGTAGTATACAGTAAATAACAGATATGATCCTTGCTCACATAGAGCTAAATGTGGCTGTTTAAATTTAAATCAATTGAAATTAAATATAATTAAAAATTCAGTTCCTCTGTCACATCTCAAGTGCTTAATAGTTAGTTACTACCGTATTGGACAGCACAGATATGGAACATTTCCATCAATGCAGAAAGTTCTATTGTAAAGAGGGTATAAGGAATAGAATAGATGACCAAAGGGCTTATAATATGCCAGTGGCTAAGAGTTCTGTTGGGATTAACGAGCTTTGAGATTCTGGGTGGCATTTTGGCATGAGGCGTTTCCTTGCCAATGCCAACAGAGGCAAAAGGTGACCTTGTTATGGCCTATTCCAAACAATGTAATCCCTGATGTTAACCAGTGTCTTTCTTTACCTTTATTTGCATCTCTCAGGTGTGGCCACCTGGATGGAGACTCTAAAGAGGTATCCCCTATCTTCACCCAGTTCCTAGACTGTATCTGGCAATTAATGGAACAATTTCCTTGTGCCTTTGAGTTTAATGAAAACTTCCTGCTGGAGATCCATGACCATATTTTCTCCTGCCAGTTTGGGAACTTTCTTGGAAACTGCCAGAAGGATCGGGAAGATCTGAGGTGAATTCAGTTTGTGAGAAAACACTGAATAGGGAGAGGGGGTCAGTGCAAAAGGAATGTAACCACCATTCTGAATTTGAGACAGCAGTTCAGGAAAGGGGAGGAGATGACGATGATAAAAAGAACTGTTGAAGCATAAAGCACTCAATGTTTGCATGGGGATTTCTCAGAACCTCAGATTCCTCATCTGTAAAAGGGGGATAATAATATCTACTTTTCAGAGCAATCGTGAGGAACCAATAAAACAATGGATATGCAAGAACTTTGTAAAGAATCAATTCTGTGCAGGTGTGAGTTGTTATTATCTATATCACTGGTATTATCTTTATCACTTGTATCAGCGATCACAAAATGGCAGCTCATGGGCCAAATCTGGCTCAACAGGCATGTTTTGTTTAGTCTGTGGAGTATTTTTTTAAACTGTAAATTAGTTTACATTAGTCAACATTTAAATATCAGGATATTTCACATAAAAATCCAGTTATTTTTAGGATTTTTTTCCCTAAATAGAAAAGCCGTTGTGCCAAGATGTTCTTCTGAAAAATCAGGAGCCCTGGCAACACTGGACCTGCATTTTCACAAAGCATTAATCAGCTAGAGCTGAATTGTGGTTGCTCCATTTGGATAAAGCAAACTCACTCTTGTTTGCCACAGTTCTTACCACTCCCTGTAGTTTATTCTCAGCCCACTTCTAATGTTATCTCCCCAGCTCCTGTAGGCAGTTGAATTTGCACCCGACTTAAACTCTAACATCCCACAATATACAAAACATAAATACTTTTTGAGGTTGACAAGATAGAGTTGCTGTGAGCAGTATTCTCCTTGTTTTAGAGACAGAAAGAAATAGACAGGAAAGTAGCTATCTCACAACCCACTCTTTGTTTCACAGCTGTTGGTTGAGTAGCAGTTAGCTGAAGTTCTCAGGCCCCTCTATGACATATCCTGCATGACATCACCTCTCTGTTATTCCGTTTTCTTGTCAACACAGAGAACAGTGATGAATCTTGCTGCTTTAACATTTGTACTTACTTGATAGCTTCTATGCACGTTTCTCTTTCTTTTTGCAACTAGACCTTTCTTACCCTCTCACCAAATTCTTTTAGATACATTCATTCTGTCTCTGGCTTGCTTCTCTAGGCATTAAAACCAAAGATCTTTTCCATATTCTTTTTTCCACCCTCTTAAAATGAGGCTAATATGTCCTAGACCCATTCCCCGCACAAATCTGAATCTCCTTTGTAAAAGTACAAAAGTTGAACATATTAAAATAATGATTATTTAAAACAAGCAGAAGTATCATTCATTCATGAAAGGAAAAGTGTAGGCTCTAGAATCAGAGACACCTGGGTTTACATTTTGGCTCTGTGACCTACTAACTATGTGACCATTAGCAAATTAATTTTTGTCTCATTTTCTCATTAGTAATTTGAGGATAAAGAGTTTTATTATGAAAATTTAATGTGATATTTTAGGTAAAGTCTGAAACAGTGCTTGACACAGTAAATACTCAATAAATACTAGGTACCTTACCTCTGCAAGATTTGCAAGATTTTTTTTTTCTGTTTTTAACCAACAACAAATGATAAAGATCATATATAGCCTTTGGCCTCACTGAAATGGTCTGAGGATTGTAAAAGTTACAAGACTACAGTTTTTGGTCCTACCACCTGTGCCACTCCTCTTTGTTCTCCTTCTTAATCTTTCTTGGTCACAGTTTGTACAAATGACTTTCTCATGCATGCTTATGCAGCAGCTCTCATTGGGGACCAGTGGATCCCTTGCTTTTTGAGGTGTTAACTAAGGGGCTTCCTTACTGGGTGAGCAGGCACCCCATGATCTCCACTAAGGTGTAAGAATTAGTCTTGCAATATAAATATTACAGTCTTTAGCTGCTCACCTAGGATAACTCAAAAATATTTGCTAATATAAATTGCCAATTGTCTTTCACTGTCTTATACTTTCTGAGAGGAGGAGAAGCTGGCTTGAAATAAAATAAAATACAGAAGAGCCAGAAATTCATGCTCTAAGCTGTCTGTTAACTTACCATATTTTTAAAAACAATTCCATATTTTTTTTTAAATTGGAAAGATCATCAGTCCATAGAATCCTAGATTTGGAAGAGATCTTAGAGGACAAATTTTACGAATGAGGAGACAGGCTCAGAAAGAGTTGAGACGTTCCTAAATCATACAGCTACTGCACAGCAGAGACTGGACTTAGCATCTTCTGCTGTCCAATGTGGAATTCTTTCTAACCTCTTATTCATTTAAAAAATGGACAAATTGAAGCCCAGATAATTTGTTACTCTATCAATGCTCATTAGCCGATTATTTCCATTTTCCTTCTATCATATCCTATTCTTCTCTCTTGAGTCAGGTTACTTATTAGTAAAATTTAGCTGATTATCAAGTTCAGCAGGACTGTTGAGATTACTTGCTTGCTACTTTTAATTTTTGACTTGTTTTTCTTTTCTGACAGAGTCTATGAGAAAACCCATTCCGTGTGGCCTTTCTTGGTTCAGAGGAAAACAGACTTCAGGAACCCTCTCTATAAAGGCTCCACTATGTATGGGGTACTCAATCCTAGTACTGTGCCCTACAACATTCAGTAAGTTCCTAAGCTGTCCCTTCTTTTCTTACAGCAGGCCCCAGGGCCTCAGCTGCTTTGCCTCTCCTTATATAGCTGCCATCATCTCCACAAGCCTGGCTATGGAGTAGGACACTCTCTCCCCAGATCACCCATTCCTTGCTGCCTCTGAAAACAAGACAACACTCATTTTGGTTTTTAGGGCTTTGCTGTTGCTTGCTTAGGGAAACAAACAAGAAATAATAGTTGATTTGTACTAATACAACTAGTCAGGATATAGATTGTTTCATTCCTTTTAGTCTTTCCCTGTATCTTCCTCTTCTTTCCCATCCTTTCCCCAACAAAGAGAAGGAAAAAACAGAGAAATAGAAAGTGCTGGTATTGTTTGCTATACTTTTCCAAAAATGTGTAAAGTACAGGCTGTTGTGCTCACTGACCACAGCTGAATGAGTGCAAGACAGAGCTGAATATGTTTATTAACTCTAATAGTTTATTTTGTGTATTCCTTAGAATTTTGTATATATAAGATCATGTCATCTCTGAATAGAGATTGTTTTATTTCTTCCTTTCCAATTTGGATAACTTTTATTTTCTTGCCTAATTTCCCTGTCAAGAACTTCCAATGTTGAATAGAAGTAGCGAAAGAGGGCATCCTTGTCCTCGTCCTGATATTAGGGGGAAAGCTTTCAGTCTTTCTCCATTGAGTATAATGTCAGTTGTAGTTTTTTTTTTGTTTTTTTTGCAAATGACCTTTATCATGTTTAGGACATTCCCTTTTGTTCCTAGTTTGTTGAGTGTTTTTGTGATGAAAGGGTGTAAGATAATGTCAAATGTTTTTCTGTATCATGTTGAAATGCAGATGATTATGTGTTATTTTTTCCTTAATTCTATTAATGTGGTGTATTACATTGATTGATTTTTATATGTTGAACAACCTATGCTTTCCTAGGGTAGATCCCACTTGGTCATGGTATATAACCCTCTTAATATGGTGCGGCATTCTGATTTTTACATGTTG